AGCGTTGCAGAGCGGTGCCGGTGCCTGCCCCGGGCCGTCCCACCGCCCGCGTGGGTACCGAGCGTGGGCCGAGGTCAGGCTCAGCCCTCAGCCCCTGGCACCCCCCCGAGGAGCAGGGGTGCCCGGAGCAATTTTCCGGTTTCGGCCTGTGAACCGACCCGTGAGCATCAGACAGCCCCAGGCTGTCCTGCAGCGCTTGGTCTGTCACTAAAGGTCAGGAGAAAATGGCAGTGGGGGCTGTGGGGACGCCTCGAGCAGGCGACAATGGGTGAAGGCAACTGCCAGCCTGTTGAAGGTTAGTCCTCGTTTCCACTTGGTCAAGGCAGAGCCCACTTCGGTTCAGCGGGAGGGGATGGCGAGGTCTTCTGCTGGCCAACTGGAAGGGCAGCTGAGGTCATTGGATGTTAGATGCATGAATTTTGGTTGGGGTCTGTGCCCCCTGTTCACAAGGTTTATTTTCCTCTGTATGTTAGAAGTGTAAAGAAAAAAAATTAATTTCAGTTGCTGGTTTTGACTCAGAAGGTCTCCTGACTTTATTTGACTTGCTCCATCACATCCAGTGTCTCCCTGGGGAAAGCGCGTGATAAGAAAGAGGGAGAACACCAGGACATCCCTTTTTGCATTTCCAACAGAGCTCTCCCTCTGAGTTAGTAGAGAACTGGTGATTTGTGTGCAGCTGGGAGTCAGAGGAGAAGAAAAGAATGGTCTGTAGAGTTGAGATAGTAATAAAATCAGCTTTAGCAAGCTAGAAAAGATCAATTCTTCAATAATTTAGAAAAAAGGTCTAAAATCAAAGCATACCTTCTACTTGTCCTTCCCGATAAAACCCTGAAATTGAGAAGTTTTGGCTTTGCAGGAATAAGCTGTTAGGGAAACAGAGCAAAATGTCTCCAAAATGGGCTCACAATCACTTTTTCAGTCCCCTTAATTGACCTACATTCATTTCAATTTCCGAGTAATAATTCTTCTGAGTTGTTTGCTGAGCAGTTTCAGCATTATTCAATTTGCCACCTAGTCCATGAGGCTTAGTGGAAATTTCTGGTTTGTATGAAACAGCTTTAACCATTTCTCTCTGCGATGCTGTTTTTATGTGTGTTATATATATTTTTATGCTGTTTCTGTCACTTAAGTTTCCGTATGGTTCTTTCTTTATCACTTGGGGATTGATCTGCAGTCACTTGAGATTGGTAGATTTTTCCCTGATTCCAGTGAGACTAGGTTTTGGTTCATTATCTCTGCATTGGGAATCCTCTTTGATGCTGGTGGCTACTTAGTCTGTTCAGTAACACGCGTTCTGATACGGTCTTATTAATTGTACACAGTCATGTCGCTTGGCTCCAGGCAGAGCAAACTGTTTCATCTTTGCACCACTGACGTTTCCTCGGCTCCATTATGGACTTTTGCTTTCAGCTGTCTCCTCTCCTTATGGCTCCGCTGGTAAAAGGTGGCATGAATATTCACTGGTTTGGTGCATCCTCAGCCGGTTCTGTTCATGTCCGGTATGCAGTAGGACAGCACAATTTCCAAATCCCTTACACTTTCCACCATTAGAGATAACGGTGTTTTATTTATATGGTTCCACTCCTTTATGCCAACAGAAGCTAGTGCAAGGTAGATAAAAATGAATCTGATTCCTTTACTGCATTTCTGCACAGGTGAATAATAATGTTTAGAAACCACTGCATGCAGCTGATCTACAGGAGCCCAACCAGTCTATACCATGCTGCATGTGTGCAGGTGTGACACTGAAGATGATAGGTTTTCAAGCAAAATAACACAATTTTTGTCATCTTGGAAGCTGGTCGATGCACTGTTGGCATTAAGAGTCAACAAAACGAGTTTTATGTCAGCAGCAGAATCACTTTTCAGACTTCATGCCTCCAAAATTAAAATAATAGGAGAATAACATGTATAGCCAAGTGGTTATTGGCCATCTTTCCCCGTTTGTACATGAATGCCCTGGAAGAACTGGAACAATGTTGGGTGTTGAAAGAGCCTGACTTTGTTGTTTGTTGTACGTTAATTCAGCATTTACCTGACTGTTCATTTCTGTATTACCTCAAAAAAGTTTCCTCAAAGGGAGAGAAAACTACTAGAAAATCCATATTGGTTTGGGTTGCATCCTTTGAAGGAGAAAGCAATAGCGGTGGGACAGAAGGATAACTTAGAAAAAAATGTGCAGGATGAGAGTTATAATGAGTTCTGATAGGTTTTCTATGAGCTATGTGACCTACTTCTGTTATTATTTTACTGTTTTGAGAGTATAAGTAATAGGCGATAATAAGCTTAATACGCTTATCTCACAAATAACAATATAGTAATGTCATCTACATATGTATATAGTTCTGCGTAGTACAAGAACAAAATTGAACCTGAAGTAGTAAAATCAAAAAGTATGTGAGTATAGCTTTGATTTTGCTTGTTATTATGTACCTTAGCAGTGTTAGTATTCAGTTAGATCATATTATAATACTTAAAACTGATGTAATTTAAATCTCCTCAGAAGCAGTTTTTTCAATGATGTGGGATCATGCTTGATTTATGATTGCAAATAAAAGCTTAGGAACTAATTTCTTTAAAAGAAAGATTTTGATCACATTCTGTCCTGCATGAGTCATTAGAAATTGTCAGCATGATACAGGTCTTGTTTTGAAGAGGTGTTTCTTAAATAACAAAAAGATAAACAATATCATGGACACATGCACTTTCAGTCCTCATTGCTGTCTAATCATGTCTATGACATGATTAAGCAGAAAAATCCTAGGAAAAGCTATTTCCTTTGTGTACGTGAGGACAACATACAGTAGACTCCCTTATGATTTTGCCTTTCTTCTTTTGTTCCATGTGCATAATGCTCTCAGGGTACACTTGATATCTTGAGAGCCAGTGTTGCCAGCCTCGTTCTCCAGCCCCTAGCCTCCCCTTCTGCAATTTCAAAATTACACGTACAAACACTTGCATGTACACTTACTTAATTTGAGCAGCTGCATGAACACAAACACTTAGTGAAAGCATTAGAAATGAGGTATTATTACTCTTTAGTACCCTGCATCTAAAGTTTGCAAGGAACCTCACAAATAGACATTTCTTGAGATGTATTCCTTTATAAGTTAAATAAATTAAATGGTTCAGTTCTGTCATTGTGATTTTTTTCATTACTAGACATTTGTCATTACTTTTTTTCTCTGCTAGGACATTGCAAATTACAGGAAAGAGAAAAGTAGACAAAGCAAAAGAAAGGCATAGAGATGTCCCATGGACAAGTAGGATGAAACCAATATATATGTTTTTCAGCAGATGCCTAAGCCCATGCCCACAACAAGAGGACAGCTGAACAAAACAACATAAACCACTTTGTGTTTACAGTGCCCCAGAGCAAGGAGTTCCACAGCTTAATACATGTTGTGTGAAGATTCAGTAGGTGTTTTTTATGTTTTAAACCTTTTACCTGCCAATTCATTTGATCCCCCTGGCTCATGTATTGGAAGAGGCTGTGAACAGGGGACTACCAGACACCTTCCCTGTGCTGTTCCCAGTTACACCTTTGCTGTATCCCCTCAGTTACCCGTTTTTGAGACCTGATGAATCTGGCTTCTTAGTCATTCCTTAGTCGTTAGGTTGTACCATGTCTGCTGCCCTGCCTGCAGCTGTTTCCAGTCTACTGTATCCTTTCAGAGGCGGTGGGATGAGAACTACACGCAATATTCAAGACAGACAAACCAGCCATTTATACAGTGGCATAATAATATTCTCTCTTTCATTCTTTGTTCCTTTCCTAGTAATTCCTGATACTCACTTTTTCACTGTTAGTGAGCAGTGGGCTGATGTTTTCACAGAACTACCTATTATAACCTCAAGATCTCAGTCCTGAAGTGGTAATAGTCACCTTGGAGCACATAATTTTGTGTAGTTAGGTTTTTTCCCCTCAAAGAAATGACTTCATATTTGTTTATCTACATTGAGTTTAATTTGCCTTTTTATTGCCTAGTCACTCAGTATTGTAAAGTCTTTCTTCATAGTCAGCCCTTATCTTAGCTTCCCTGAATGAATATCAGCAGCAAACTTTGTCACCTCACCATTTACCCTGTTTTCCAGCTCATTTATAAATAAGTAAGTGAGCAGCTCCCAAGTTCCAGCACAGATCCCTGCAGGACTCCACCATTGACCTCTCCCTGCTTGGAAAATTGACAGTATTCTCCTACCATCTGTTTCTAATTATTTATCTTTGCAAGGACATTTATTTTTATCCTCTAGGAGTTTAGTTTTTTTAAGACTTATGAATGACAGATTTATCAAATGTCTTTTGGAAATCCAGGTGGACTTTGTTAATGAAAATTTCCACGGTACGCATTATTTTTTACTTCTTTGGAGAACTCTAGTAGTTTTGTGAAAAATTACTTAAAATAGGTGTGTTGGTCCTACCTTACTCACTTCCTTTCATCACACAAATACGCCATGTTTGTGCACATGACAACATACTCCGTTGTCTTTCATTGTTCTTACTGATTTACGTGGTGCAGATATCAGTCTTTCTGTGGTTCCCTAGGTTTTCCCTGGCCCTGTTTTAAACTGGTTTTTAAAACTGGTTTCATATTGCTCAATTGCCAGTTCTTTGGAGCCAAAGCAGCCATAAGAGAGAGGCTATTACATGCCACAGTTAAAAGTTCGTTTAAAACAGGGAATTGTTTCAGAATGAAAAGGTGAAATTCTTCATTGCAGCTGTATTGTTGTTTGCCTTTATACTTGAAATCAGTCTGCAGGACCAGGTGACTTTTACATAAGAGTCTTAAAAGGCTTGACCTTGATGCTCTCGGAGCCTTTGTTGCTGCTGTTTGTCAGATCTTGGTATAGGGGTAAATTCCAGAAGGCTAGAAAAAAAACCAGTCTTGCACCAGTGTTTGAGCAGGGTGTCTAGTGGAGTCAGACAAGGATCTTGTTTGTAGCCTCTGTATCCTTAACAATTAGTTGGGAGAGTAATATACATTTATGGCTGCTGAACTTTGCAGGTGGCACAAAAATTATTTGTTTAATAAGTTATAGTTATCTGTTTAATAAACTATAGTAAGGATAGCGAATTCCATAGACTGATTTGGATGTCAATAACCTGGGCTTGCTTCAGCAGCCTGTGTTTTAATACACCAAATGCAGTGTAAGACTTCTGGGGATCAAAATGTAGGAGGCGTCCTACTGATGGGAGAATTATGGAAATTATGTGTTATGGAAAACAGTTATTTAGAAGAGAAATTAGAGGCTGTGGTAGATGGGCATCTGCATGTGAGCTCTCACTGCAGTGCT